ATATATATATATATATATATATGGCTATGGAGTATTCCCTCCCTCTCAGGTAAGCGAATAGTGGTTAGTTTTAGTGAACTGGACTTGTTCTGTAATGCTTAATGTATTTAATAAATGTTGGTGTATGTTACCGACACTCATTGAGGCTAAAGAAGCTATTTGGATGAATAGCAAAACATCATCAACAATACAGAACAAATCCAGTTGACTGTGACTAATGATACGATCTATATGATGATCTGGATAAATGAGAAACGTCAGACATATTCCCTCAGTCATCTTTTGGTCTGAGTAACCCGGGAGGCTGCTGGATGGAGCTAGGTGCATTTAAGATTTGACCCCAAAGACCCCATTCACACTGATCTACAACAAAATAAAAATCTCCATTGAAATGCATTAGAAGAGCTACATTGAGCTTCATATTTGAGCGATTTTTGAGTGGAAGTCGCGCTACAAAATAATGTCAGGAAAAAAAAAAATACCAAGGAAGGACTGAACCTGAATGATCCCTAGTATCTATACGCCCTTGGGTTTTAGGCTATATGGCAAGATCATTATTTTTAAGTGTTCACCCTCCTACGGGCAAGGCACATAGTCCAGTATAATGTCCACAAGGAACAGTGAGGAAAAACCAGTATACACAAATAAATAGCTTGAATGATTTTGGGCAACAAGCTATATTTCAGTAAAAAGGTTCAGTGGTCTGACCTCCAACAATTTCCAGTGGATCCAGGCTGATCTCTGGAGCTGCGTGGTCAGCTGTCCTCTGCACAGTTGCGTTCAACACACGATTCATCACCGTCACTTTTGTATCATAGAAGATCAGTCCTATATCGAGAAAGAAAGAAAGAAAGAAAGAAAATGAACCCACAACTTATAATTCAAACTGCTTCTAAATATTGATTTAGTTGCCAACAATCTATATTTTTGCTCCTGCAAACATATAAATGAATGTACAATAAGATTTCAGGATAACAATGCACCTTGGTACAGCTATTCCAAAGTAAAGCAAAACTAAAAATGTATTACAAGCTCCATACTGATAAAACCTGTCATAAAAGACATCCAAAGGTTGCTATTGCCGGGCTTTTATTGCTGAATAGTTGTTGAGTATTGATGTAGAACAGATATGCAGCCAGCAAAGTCAGAATTTCTAATCTTTGCATTTCCCTTGGTAAACCACTTAAAACATTTAAGACAAAGGATAAGCGTAACAGCCAGGCAACCAGCATTTTCAGAAGGTCAGTGATGATGGAGTAAATATTTTCTCAGATAGGCTTCCCTAGAAAGGTAATAGCAAGGGGAAAAAAAGGATAATACGAAAGAAAAACCGAACACTAGTTTACAAAAATGATTTTTATTAGTGAAATCCCTTAAAAAAGGTCATCTTGCCCTCCTGTGATTGACTTGAGGATTGTCCATGAGCGGTTATGTAAAACCTTGCAGTCCCAGCCATGGAAATCACAATATTGGAATCTGTTGAGCTTAAGAAGCACTATATTATCCAGGGATCATTTCCAGTTATGAGACAGTTTATAATATCCTTATACTTGGTCAGCAGGTTACACTAAGGACAGTGTTGGCAGAAGCTACAGACTGATCCTGAAGTTTGTGGACACCCCGTGGATGACATCAGCGTTTAATCCTGCAGTGTTAATCCCATTAGTTGTAAAACTGTCAGAAAGGAAACTTTAAAGGCATTTAGTGGTTCCAAAAATGGAGTAGCTCCCTGTGCCTACTCACAAAGTGAGTTTTGAGGGACAGGGCACACATTTAGGCAATGCCACACCTCTTGACATTGAAAGCATTCCAAGGCAACTTTTACCATTACATGAATGTCTGGAGAGTGTCACAATGTGGCATTCACATTCCAGGCTACCCCCACCCATGGGGGTCTGCGTACAGAAATCCAAAGTCAAGAAGGGTAAAGAGCAATATGGATAGCTGCATACTGAGACATGCTCTGCAGAAATGTAGCAGGAACTTAACTAAGGAATGTTGGGAGTAAGAGGGTTACCCTGGGCTGCCTGCAAATGATTTTTTTTGCCAGTGTCCAATCCTCCTGTTTGTGGTAGTATAACCCGAAGGTTTTCCTTTGTCCCTCAATGGATAAGAGAGAAACTAGGCTTTTAATAAATGAATACAAATTGTCAAGATTATATACAATAACCTGATCCTTTTCTCAAGGATGTCACAGAACATTTAAACGGCTAGTCCCACTTAAAAAATAAAATAAAAACAAAAACACAAAAAAAGGAAAAGACACTTCTACAAACCTTTTACTTGTTGTAGTAGAGCAGAAATACTGTGCGAGTACATTTCTGTTTGTCGTAGTTCCACAAGTGGCAGGAAAAAGGTTTCTAAGGTTGTGTTCAGTGACTGAAGGAGGGCAAATCGGAGCCGCAGACTTTCTATGGGGACATCTGAATAATAGAAGAAAGCAGCATTAGAAAACAAAACAGAGCATTAGAGACTTAACCATCTTAACTGGTATAAACTTGGTATGGGTGCATTAGATATTTCATTGTCACAGACAATCACATAATTTCAATAATTACAGATCCATCTTTTCTGAAATACACACAACGGTATCTCTTACTCAACAGACAGGACACCCTGGGATCAGCAGTGTCTGAAGTGTCCAAATAGGCCTCATGAGGATGTAACCGGGCAGGTGTTATGGCTAGATGACGGCAAAGACGGTTGATATATTGAACCAATGCAACATCCATTTCAAGGGCCCATTTTCTGCTGGATTTCTGGGCATGGCGGGTGTCAGTGCAGGCACACCTGGAGAGGAAACAGAAGATTAATTACTTCTACAGCACCTAGGTGATTATATCTACTGTAAAACTGTCCATACACTGTTAGAATACCTGTTAGAGGTAGCCCCATGGCAAGGGTAAGGTTTTTAAATTCCTAGAGTCAGTCTTTAAACAGGTACTTTTGCGTCTAGCACAAGCTAGGCACAAAAAAAGACCCCACGATTAGACCCTATAAATCATTAGAAGAGCAAACAAATGTCCTGAGCTAGGGTTACTCGTGTACATATACCTCAGCACCATGGTCCCTTTAATGCACAGTAAGCTGTTCAGTAAAATGATTCTCCAGTATCTACAAAATACAGAAACATCAGTTTTAAGTAGACCGACTGTTTAACTGTGTCTTGGCTGCTTGCACCTAAAAAGCACCCGGTGGGGACATTTGGCTCTGGGAGAGCTCAGCGAGTAAGTCCTGTCACTCAGCCAGGCTAGTTTTAAAAATTGTGAGCACACTTCTAAATTTCTTTCAGATGTTATTGGTCAGATTACCAAAATGAATCAAATACTTAGTATGAAAGTTCTGCCAAAACAATCCATTGAACCTAAATTAACCTCCCTGGCGGTATTCCCGAGTGTAGCTCGGGGTTACTTCTCCATACCATAAGCGGTAACCCCGAGCTACACTCGGGAAAGCTGCATAGCATTTACTTACCTTGTCCCTCGAGCCGTGCTGTGTTCAGCGGCCGATGCCAGCTTCCGTGTTCCGTCGCTTGCGAGCATACGCGTCGCAGGGGGGCGGAACCGGCGGGATATTTAAAAAAATAAATTGAAAAAAACGACAAAGACGAAAAACATTCGAAAAAAAAATAGACCGAAAAATGACATTAAAAAAATTAAATATCATACCGCCGGGGAGGTTAAATCAGGTAGCCACTCAAGCTACACAGCTGTTGTCATATCCAAGACAAAATTTGACTGTGTGTGTGTCTCCAATGTAAGCTGTGTATGCCGAGTGGCTCCATACAAGACTGCAGCTGACTTGATCTGAAGTACTCCACTGGGCTGCTTTTGCAGCAGGCTACACAGAACTCCTAAGGGCTGGACTTGCAGAATGGGACTGCAAGGAGTGAAAAAGAAAGACCCAGCCTCATGCAGATAAATGGAAAGTCTAGTCACTTTCTACTGCAGAGGTCCTCTAAGCAGTGGTGAAACAGTTAAAGATCTGCGTGAAGCAGAGTGAACTACACCGTATAAAGGTGGAGTGACTTGTCATAGGCAGAAATATTTAAGGGGTCATTTATGCATTTACAAAATGTGCCCTGCTGCCCACTTGCTTTGGGATCCAGAAGCTCACAGAGCACAGTAAATGACTGACAGGTCTACTGAGCAAACTCCATGGGGCTTTACACTGTGGCACAATATCTATGAATGAGATGGGCCATGGTGTACATAGTGCAACAGTACAAAACAGAGCAGATAAGTCATTATCATTCTCTGTTTTAAATTAGCCCATTAGAGTCAAACCGAAATACAGTGATAAACCCAGTAGATTCTGCAAGTTGGTATTTTGTAAGATTTATGAGATATGCAGTAAAACTGTAAGTGCATTATTCCATTGTTGTTGACCTATTTATCAGACACCAACAATCTCAATCCCAGGTGTAAAAATGATCTTTTTCGCTCGTACAGGAATATGTCCATACCTTTCAAAGTGTAGGTCATAGCCACAGGCCAGAATACCTCTCCAGATGCTTCGGATGTCCTGCTTAGCTTTGTCAACCACAAATTTGTGGAAACCTTCTAGTGTCAGGTACTTTTCCTCTGCAACTGAAAATGTGATGTGCAGACATTACACTACAGTATAAGGGGAAACAGTAAAGAAAGCAAATGCAGTCCTAAATAACAGACATACTTTCTTGTTTCTTTGTGGGAGATTTGTCATTGTCCTTCTCATCTGGCCGACTCTTCTCTGGAGACTTTGGCTTTACAATGGGCTTCTTCTCACTGAGAGCAGTTCTTTGGATGTGAAAACACACATGCACAATCAAACATATGCACATATTCTATAGATAAGCCTTGAATTTCAATCACTGCTGAAAAATACAGACAAATGTGGATACTTTTTGACATATTTAATTTAGTAAGATAAATGTTTGGCCATAGTTCGTTTAAACATTTTTTGGTGTTCGTTCTCTTTTGGGTCACAAAAGGACATTTACTAATGTCCTCCTGTGATCCAAAACTCAGCCACTAGCCACTATATGCTGCCAGTGCAGAGCCACGCTTCAGTTGGGATCCACCCCGCTACATGATTGACAATTGGCTCTGCCTCTCTAAAGCCAGAGCCAGCTGTACCCTTCCTCCTCAGTCTGTCCCTCCCGTCAGCACTGGAGAAAAGGAGAGGGGAGGGAGAAATCCCCGCAGGGGTGATGGCCGACAGTCAGCACGCTCTGCAGGGAGAAGATCTTGAACTGAACGATTAGTGCTTCGTGACTGCTCAGTTCTCGATCTATAGAGCCGACGTGGGACATCTGCAGAATCAAATGCCGGCTCTAACTGTGGGGATGAGTGCATTTCACTCTCTCCACAGTTCTCCTTTAATAAGAATGAACCTATAACAAACTAATTAATTTTAGTAGCCAGGGGCTACTGCTTTCTGAACCACACTGTAGTCTTATCTTTATAAAGAATAAGCGCACTTTTACTATGTTTCTCATCACACCCAGATGAACCATTTTTAGGAGTTTGCAGTCTCTAAAAATACATTTAGTGGTCTTGCCTAGCACCAGGTATACATGTTCTCCAAAACACCTCTCCACATCCTGCAATCTGCAAAAGACTACATAGATCTGGACAGGCAGGAGGTACAGTCAGTGACTAAAACTAAAGCATGGGAAAAGCATGCCTACCCTGGTGAGTAGCATTAACCTCTATAAAATGATTTTTCTGCCTAGATCTTTATATATAACATAATTCATCTGCTTAGTTAACTCAAAAACATTAAAGTATGTCTCCAGCCAAAACATTTTTCTTCAGTAGTAGATGGGTGGAGGAGGTTAAAATCTTCATCACCGATTTATTGTTCTGAGGCCTTTATTTGACAATTTCCCCTTACCTTCTACCCTATTGACAACATTGTCACCAAGACTGGAAAATAAGACAAATTCACCAATATGGACAGAGACAGCAATAGATAGGCATGATAACCTCATAATATACTGGTGATTCCCCCTACACACAATTCTGTGCTGGTCACAATATCATCTAAAGCCTTGGTTTTCAACTGGTGGGTCATGACCCAAAAGTGGGTGGCGACCCCTTGTTCAGTGTCAGCTTGAGGTGGGATGGGATTGGGCTATGGCTGCGAGGGAGCTTCATCCATATGTCCATTGCTTACAGCTTCCTTGCGTGCCCTGTAGAGGTGCCTGGACCGGAGTGATGTCACATCCCCAGGCTGAGGATACGCTCCAGTTCTCATAAGATAGGGAGACTGGGTGGATCTGTACCGCAATGCTGTAAGTTCCATTGCAGTGCAACTTGGGTCATGACTTAATGACCAAGGCTACACAGGCTACACAGGTTGAGGCTACACAGGTTGAGAACCACTGATCTAAAGGACAGGAAGTGAGGGAAACCACCCCAACAGAATTTGGGGCACAGGAAGAAACAGAAGTTTGACGTTTAAATCCATTTTGAATTCAAAAGGAGTTGCAATGTGACCATGTTTCACGCAGAATATGGGTGTAACATGAAACATGGACCTTTAAGTATTTAAACAGTCTCATCAAATTTTCTACTTGGAAACGAGATCGAACCCAGAAAGCTTATAAGACCCCGCAAAGTCCAAAAACACAAGGCAGGGGCTTTAGTCTTAGCAAACCCACAACTGTATTTGCAGGCAGCCCAACACCAACCCATAATGCATGGGTTCCATCCTCTGAGCAAAGACCCAGTGCCATGTATACATACCAAGATCCTTACAGACTCCCACTGGTCTAGCAAGATCAGTAGGTGATGGAGTAGAGAAAGGGAGATGCTATCATACTTACCGAACACTATTAAACACAGCTTTCTCCTTAGTGGAAGGTTTGCTGACTGGGCGCTTAGTGCTCACAACCTTTACTGGATGCTGCTCCTTCCCTGTTTTACTGTATTTGCTTTTATCAAACTTTGGTTTAGCAATTCCATATTTTCTCAAGATCTACAGCCAAAAAAGGGAAATTGGTTACACCAATAATGTATGAAAACAAATAACATAAAAAACAGAGTAATGAGTTTTCCACCAGAAAGCGTCACCTCCATGATTGTTTAGTAATGACACATCCTAATTTAATTATGTCTTCGTGGGAAATTATACACCAAGTTCAAACCTGAAAACATTTTCCAGCTAAATTTAGATTTCTGTTGTTTTTCCCCCCTCTTTTTACCTATCCTATATATGTAGAAACTAGATCATGCATATACAATTTAGAAGAACACTATTGTGGAGCTGGAAACTATTACCTGTGTAAGCTGATCTTCCAGGAGTTTCTTGGGGGGGCGAACGTTGGTGAAGAATGTATGTAGAAGGTTTCCTGGTGTCTGAGAATTGATTTGCTCTTTGCTCAGATAAATATCCGATACCTTGATGAATTTGGCAGGAGTCAGGCTGAGCATTTGTTCAGCATGAATGCAACTCTTGAATATTTCTGTGAGAACATCTCGAGCTTCTGGGACCAACTTGTCACCTATGAAATGATAAAGCAAGTGTTTTTTGTTTTCAATTGCAAAAGCAGTTTAAAAAAAGACTAACCTGTAATTGTATAACCCAAAATTGCCCAGAACGTTTCGGGGTTACACTGGCATGCAGGGATAAAATAGTGGACAACAAAGCAAATAGAAAGAAGGGAGTGCAGAACAAACAGCGATAGTTGGCTGGTTTCACAGACTGTAAACACAATAGTGGATCTACTGATACTGACAGTACGCTGTAATCCACAAGTGCCCTTTAAACTATGGTAATATATTAAATCACTGTGCTTGTTCACCTTTCAGGGTTTTGTCAGTGAAGTAATCTCCCAAGCCTGGAATTCCCTGGGTATCAAACAAACTCTGGTTTACTGTGGAGACTGTCAATATTTCCTCTGTAGACATTTCCATAAGCTCATCTTCACCATCCAGACTTGACAAACCAATCAGATCACTGCTATTAAATAAGCTTGCTCGGATTTTCTCAATTTTGGCTTTAGAACGCACCTACAATGGAAATGAAGTGTGAACGTTTTTAGTTGATGTAAGACATTCTAATTGCACAAACATATGAAGACATAATGCTAGCCAAAACTTTCCAAGGTAAATTTGCAGCTTTGCAAATGATCTGTGCAAGAACATTAAGTACTTACACTCACCTCCCTGTGATATACATGCATACTTAAAATGATATATCTATATATCCCCCCCCAAAAAGTCCAGCATAACAATAAAAACTGAGAAATGTCCAGTCTTTACCAACCCCACTTTACTACCCTCTGACAGGCTGCAGCAGTGAAGGAAATGGGGATCAAATCTCGATACTTGGGCCACAAATAGCAATAGTTCTAACTTTTCCTCACTCTATCCAAAAGTAGCCATTTAACAAGAATGCCTGCTGTTTGGTAAATGCCAGCTAATTTACTGATCTATGTATAATCGAGTGGTGTGCCATTCATCCCACATCTGGGGAGTAATCTGTACTGTGTAAAGACTGATAAAACTCTGAGCATTGGAGTTAGCCAAAAAGTTTTTAGGGCAGCCATTAAGGTTGTACCCAACTGTAGGAGGGCCTGGACAAATTATACCACTTGACCCTTCTACCTTTCAATCTGAGAGCTAAACAATAAGAAAAAACCCCACAAATATAGTATACTGGTAACATTTTAAACAAATGTAAGTAAATGTTAATGCATTTTACAGCTGGCATGGTACAGCTAAATCTGTGGAAACCATGTCAAACATTGTTTTAAGATTAAAGTACAATAACAGAACAAAATAAATAAATAATGCCAGAAAAAACACACTGGGTTCCATTGTAATCCTGAGGTTAGCTTTTGATACTGGTTGTCTCCAAGATCAGCCATGCTTTGAGCCTGTGCCTGAATTTAAGTGGAGTTATGTTTTGGTTTTATTTTTCTTTACTAAAGCCAATGCTGGCAATGCACACCTTAAAAAAATTACTAGAAGAATATAAAGAATTTACCTCCACAACTGCAAATCCCTTGATTGGTCGAGACACGGCTGTATGGTTATCCAGCGAACTGGCTGTAAACATGGAGCCTACATCAGGTATGGAGGATACCTCTACATTGTCAAGTTGCTCCACAAGGCTGCCCAAACTGCCCATGCTTCCCGTACTGCATATGGAAAGGTCTAAACTCTCCTGGCTGGATATTGCATGTGGCTCTAAAAGGCTTTGTGGCACCGCGAGTTCTGGAGGAAGCTGTTCTACAGATGTCTCACTGGGGGTTTGGGAAACGCCCTGCGAGCTGCACAATGAAGCCTGGCTTGTGGAAGCAGAGGCACTGACACTAACTGCAGGGGTCACACTGCTGGAACTGCTAATGTCCATGTTATCAGAGTTTGGCATTGTGGCTGTTTTCTCTGCCTCTGTTTTGCATTCAGCTCCTTCAATTTTGTCTTTTGGTTTTGGAGTTTCCACATCTTGAAGGGGAATATAAATTTCATCTTTAAACACACCCCCATGGGCATTGCATGCTTTCCGAATAGCCCCTCTCACAACAGACTCTTCTAGGTGAGTGGGGATCCCTGAAATAACAAGCAAGCGGCTATGGGCGGTGGAACCCACTAGTGCCTGACTGGCATCTGCTATGGCATCACTGGTGACCCCCAAGCCTTGGGGATCTTTACTTGTAAGATGCCTGAGAATCATTAGCAGAGTCAAGGCTCTGTGGAACCATAACATGTCCTCTGGCTTGCTTCCTCCCATACTAAGCAAGGCTGGGTCACTCTCTGCTCCACGTGAAGTTGTGCGTTTGGCCGAGGATGCCTTGTCACGTTTGATCTTGACTTTCTTCCTCTTTGAGAGCAAGCTTGGACTTTGAGGAGTCTGACCAGGAGATGATGATGAAGATGAAGAAGAGTCACTAAGGTTTGTAGCATTTGTTGAGGACATCACACTGACTGCAGAGCTCATATTGATAGGAAGAGTAACTTCTGCCACAGCAAGGCAAATCTCCATGAGAGCATGGAAGTAAGTGGAGAACCTGCCTTGTTCAGTAATGCCAGGTACAGTGCCACTACAAGCGTTGCCTGAACTCCAGTTTTGAGTCTCCTCATCATACAACTTGCGCAGCTCTGTCTGTAGAGCCATAAGCATTGCTAGGCATGGATTTAGTTGCAGAGCTATGGAAGATGACAGATCAGCAGGATTCTTTTTCTGCTCAAGGTGATGAATTTTACGTAGCAGTTCAGCCAGCAGATGAAACAGAAGCTCCTTTATAACAGCAGCCAGGTCTGTTGTCCACAGTAAATTGGCTAAATGAAACAATGCAGATAAAAAAAGACAGACAACATATCTTTAGAAACCAGTTATACATAAGCAGAAATTAGAATTTTAATTAAAAAGAGAGCATGTGGAGGATGGCAAGACTGCATTCACATGGGGCGTTCTGGGATTCTACGGCAAAAACCTATGGATTCTGGTGGCAGGAATTCCTAGTGTGCCCATTCAACTTAATGACAGGGTGGCAGCGGTCACAACTGTCAGTGGCAGTCTGCTTGCAATCGTACATGGTACAATTACATGAGGTTTGGGATGGGGATTGTCCCTGGACACATTTATCTCATTTATCTTGAACCACAGGCAATCGTGCCATTACATGCGGACCATCCTCTCAGGCTAGACAGACCCTGTACAAGTGAATAGTCATGTGCATTCATCTAGAATATGCCTTTGCAGTGAATGCAACAACAGCTATGCATCTCACAGTGCTCAGGAACACACGCGGCATAAAACTTTCTTTTTTATTTTCCTTCATCTCATTTCCTTCAAATATTCTAATTATTAGAAGGAGTTGAGTTGTAAAGAAAACACTATACTGTGAGCAGAGACTCCCATCTCCTTCTGAAGATGTCAGTTCTCTGGCTGTCTTTGGTGTCAGTACTTTAAGGCAATGACCTGGAACAAGCATTATCTAGTATAAAGCACGAAGCTGACAGGAATGTCAAACCTCTAGCCTTGCACACTTGTTCGGTGACTCAGAAAGTACTGCAGCCTTTAATAACATAACAGCCAGGCATCCAGCATTTGAAAAAGATTACAGCAATGACAGTCTACACATTTCAATGATTTTTATTGCGGTACATAAAGACTTTTACTGTGTAAAGAAATGAGCATATCACCTAGAAGTTCCACCACTTGGAGCAGAACAGAGGGTGGGACCGTGCCAAGCTCATCATCGGACCTTTCATCTCCTTCCTCTAGTTTCCAGGTTAAGAGCTGCTCAGTGAAAGCCATTGCAAGTGGAAATTCCAGGGGCATAGAATGGAAAACTAGCACAGCTCCCGGAGATGGAGACACTCCTAGAACAGAATATTTCCAAATAAGATTTATTTTTATATCATTATTACAGCAATAAATAGAGTCCACATCAAGGCATGTAGTTGACCTGTATAGACTATGCTGGCAATTAGCCTAATCAAATCTACCTTACAATGCTAAACACAGGCTTTTATAATATAATGCAAAGTAAGCTGCATCCAAACATACAGATGGATCTTTTTTTTTGTAAGATTCTGTGGAAACTCCCTTAACTGTCATGTGCTTTCTATCTTCTTACAGCCCACAGATTAATTAGTAATTATGTCTAACCCTATTATACAGAGCTATATACCAATATTATGGAACAATGAGAACAGGAATAAACTTGTCTACTATAGATATCCGTTACATGCGAACAACTGAGCATGACTGTCGATCAAGGGTTATGAGTCAAGGACACAGTACATGGTGATTGATGACTGAATAAACACAGGCATGATTTTTATTAAATGATTTGCTCTTGCTTCTCTCAGCTAACGTGTCTTAAAAGGAACAAGTACCTATTTTGACATGGATCTTGTCGGTTGGAATGATTGCAGTTGGGTACTGGTTGGTGGTTGGCGGTGGGGTCAGGCCTGTATTACTTGGAGAAGCATCACGGGGAAAACAAACAGATTCTATCAAGTTTAATTGCCCATTTCTTTTCACTTTATGGCCGAGGCCATACACTAAGACCCGAGCCCAGGGAGCTTTGTACAATGAAGAGCTAAAATAAAAAAAAAAGAAAACCATAAATGATTAACAACATTCAGAGTCACATAAAATATATATACAGTAGCTGAACCCACAATAGTATTAGTGTATCATTCAGCCCATATCTAAGGTGTAAAGTGTACTATATAAAGGGTTCATTGTAATTTGAGTGTTGAAGGAGAGATGAAAAAAAAAGTCTTTAGAGCAGACAGGAAGGCTCTACCTAATATAGGCCTGGTCACTTAGACCAGTCATGCTCACCTTTAGCTCTTAACCCTTTCGCTGCCAAGCCCTCCGGAACGCTTTTAAACTCAGCTGGCCGCACCATGTTTACAATTTTTCCAATTGATTTCATTTTCTATTGCTAGCGTTTGTAAAAGCCCCCCAAAACCATATATTTTCTGAAAGTCCTTTTCGGTGTTGGCCTGCAGTGAACCCTCATTGACTTTAATGTGGCTGTACTGGGATGGGCCCATACAAGCCTATGAGGGCTCACTGTGCAGGCATGTGGAAAAGTACAGTTGTCATTTAAGGCCCTCTAAGAATGTATAGCTATGCCCTTGTAAGGAAGTTGTTACAGGGTGTCTTACAGTACGTGTTGTTTTAAAATACAGGATTACAATATTTTAGACTTCACAAAAATGATGTATAATGTTACATAATCTCCTGGTTCCCTCAATGGTCGAAAAAGAAAAAGTTACTGTCAACAGAAAAGCACCAATCTGAAATTCAGACATAACTTACTCTTTCCGGAAACCAGACTGGCTTTCTTTACATGACACAACAACAAAGGCTGCTCCAGGAAAATTCACATCCACACTGACTTTGGACTCAGTGACTGGGAATTCCTCTGATGGAAACTGCTCTGGTGCATGCTGAAAAAGAGACAAGGTAACAGTACCGCAATCTGCAAATTACCACAAAGTGATGCAACCAAACTCCAGCTGTCATTTCTGGACACATCCGAAGACAATTTTGTACATCTGCATTGTTATATAAAAATGTAATCAACTTAAGCAGGTACAAAAAAAAGATAATCAGTGTAAAATGCCTTTAAATTGGATTCACATGGCATGGCCTTTAGAAATATGATGTATTATAATGCTACATGAAAAAAACAATAGGTACACAATAATGCTACATGTATAATATACATAATTATTGTTAAAAACAGTCTATTAAAAATGTAACTTTACACCAACCTGTAAGAAGGAACAGATCTGCTTAGTAAGATCTAGAAGACTATCTTCCCCTTGATGTAGGGCCCTGGTGATGGCGACACAAAGCCATTCTCGAATTGAATGAGCATTTCCCTGATAAAAGAGATCTGTGGTGGAGCAACTCTGGGAATGGATACAGTGTTGTAAGGACTGGGCTATAAGTATAGAGAAGGAGCTGATAGTCCCATCTGGAAAACAAATAAGATTTATAGAATAAAAGCTGAACATGACCTAGATTTACAGCATGCTTTGCCAAGCGGTTTCACTTGGTTATACATGAGAATAATATAAGAGAATAAGGGGCGGATTTATAATGCAGTCGCACATCGCTCCATCTAGTGGCAGGATTGTGCTGCAAATGTCATTCGCACAGCTATACGCTGTGTGAAAGCTTTACAAAATCAGCTCCCAACAGTGCTAACAAGAATACTAAAGAGTGCCTGTCGGGACATTCTACATTTAGGGAGGGCGATATTTATAGAGACATAGTGGGAAGAAAGACTTTCAGCTTCACAGGAGAGGTGTCCCATACTGCAAATATAGATTTCAATTTGTTTCCACTGTACCATTTAGGAAAAACAACCTCAAGAATCAGATAAGTGTAGTTACCAGGAAGGGGTGGTGTCAAAAGCTGATTTGATAGAAGCTGTAGGTGCTCCAGCGTGATGTCCCGGATGGCAGGAATGTGGAACAAGCGAGTAAAAGTGTGTGGGGACTTTGGTGCAAAGATGTTGAGTAAAGCAACACGACAGTAGAGTCTAGCTAAAGACGATTCACATCTTAGTAGCTCCCTGGAAAAAAACAAGAAATGTACCCATCATTGCAATTTCTGTCTCCTGAAAAATAGGATTAAATTATTAGCGAAAAATCAATTTTACAGAGTCCATTGAGGGACACAGCTCTGAAGAATTCGGATACATAGGTTATGCTGCTGCCTCCAGGAGAAATGGACACTAATCCAAAAATTAAAAGCCTGCACTTTAAGGACATAACCCCTCACACCTGTCAGTTGTAGCAAGCAGAATTAAGGAAATGAGGAGAGGGAGCTGTGCCCCTCAATGTACTCCCAGAAAAGGATTTTACAGTAAGAAGACAATCTTATTTTGTCTATAGTCCATTGAGGGAGAAAGCTCTAAAGAATTCTGATCTATAGGAATATTCAAAAGCAGTCCAAACAGAGGGGTGGCACAACAACAACAATTAAATGAACCAGTTTAACAACAGAAAATAATAATAATAATATTAATAATAATAATTTGCTCCAATTAGCAGCTGATGTATAGATAAAGAGTTTTCCTTCCACTAGGAGTTCAACTTCTAGTCATCAGTACAGATTTCAATGTATGATTATCAGCTTTCTTATTATCCTGACACTTCTAGGTCCTAGTCAGATAGCACACAGCTAGGTTACCTGTGAATCTGGATGTTTGTGCTGTCCAAAGTCACTAAGCCATTAGTGGCCATTCTTCTGTACCCCACAGGAGGTCTCTCCAGCATGTCTATGGGATACCAATAACGCACCAGGACTCCTTCACTTCGGAGGTATGTCTCTACTTGTACTAACTCATTAACCTGAACAACACATGAAGTAACAGCAATCAATGCAAATATGAAAACAATGTGTACATTTAAAGTTCAACTATATAAATATGGGCATTGCGACTGTTGGCTTTTTTTTTACTTTTCAAGCTTCTAGTTTTCCCTGGTTGTCATGCTCATCCTACTGTTTTAATACTCAAGTCACTGAATCAAGATATGCATACGACCAGTAAAGGTTCAAGTACAGAACATTAAGGCTTCATGCACATGGCCAAAAAAACACAATGCAAAGCATTATCTAAACACTGGTATATTGTTGTCAATGGAGCCATGAACACAGGTCCGTTATTCATTTTCTCTGTGTACAGGTCCTTAGCACAAATCAGGGAAACCTGCGGCTGAAGAAATACATTTTATGTGCATATGCATGTTTACATGTATACACACCAGGGACATGCAGTGAGGGGAGGCAGAGCCTCACTTAGTTCTATGGAGGAAAAAAGCAGTCAGCTTCAAATGTGAAGCTGACAGCTTTTTCTCCATTCAGATCGGCTTGTTACAGGTTACACTGCAGGGAAAGCCTCCCCACTGTGTAACCTGTCATGGACGGAGCGCTGCCTGTTAATTACAGGCACTGCTGCATTCAGCTTCTGATAGGTAGTTAGGTTACACATCAGCGGGCTTCCCCACTGCTTGTGTAACCTAACATAGTGAGGCAAGAGCTGCAACAGCCTCTACTTGCTGTTAGAGGGTTGAGCTCTGTGGATGGCTTGGACCAATGATGGCAAATCGCCATTGGTCCAAGATGTCCAATAAAAAAAAAAAACAGCGAGGCCATCGATCTCGATGCCACACTGGTGACAAGCAAGTGAGGGACAGGGAGGCTCCTCCCCGTCTCCGTTCTGCCTCCTCCACCTGGCTTGGTGACCGGGTTGGGGGAGGGGCAGAGATGGGCTGGGGCGGGGCATGGTCGGGGCAGGCAGGGGAAATACCTCACCGAGAATCGACTCCATTGCACATCACTGATACCCACATAAGTGTGTAAATGTAGACTAAACACAAAATCACATTGAAAACAGAGCAGGAGGAATGAAACGAGGAATTTAAACACTTAAACGCATGTGTTTACACGACTAAACGCAAGCATTTTGCTCGCTTTTGGCCAGAAAAAATACGGTATATGATCAGTAAATTTCTTGTGGTCGTGTGCTTTTAGCCTCATATTCATTGACAGCAACTTAGCATTGACATAATAAGATGAAATTCATAGCAAGCAGTTAGCAAATTCTATTCTGCCATATAAAATGGCCATTCTGAAATCGGACATATTTCTCTCATGGCAGGTACACTTTAATTACAGGAACAGGCATTTACTTCACTTCAAAACTGCTAAAATCGACATGTGACCTATATGCATTGACACAAAGTGTACAAAAGTTCTCAGGCTAATCAGAACCATCTCCAGGCAACTTGCATTATATAGAATATCTCACCGAATCGACATCCAGGACAACCCCATGCAGGGAAAAGGTCTTCAGCATACCCCTGATGGCAAATTTTGGTAAAGCAGTTCCCACACCAGTGCTGGCAATGTTGTTACTATCAGGAGACCGAATGACCACAGTAAGACCTGAACACACAGCAATCACAGATGGTTTAAGAAAAACAACATTAGAGAACACATGGAAACCTCAGAGAGGCAGATTAACATGAAAAATATTTACCTTTGCGAACTTTGTCAATGGTGAATTTATTAGCCTCATCTTTAATATCTTCAATGGTAGGGAGATAAAGATCTCTGGGGATACCTCCATTCTCCTCATACAGAAATTCTACTGTCTGCCTGGCTATATCCACCATTCCTGGAATACAATGAACACTGAGCTTATACAGGGGCCATACATATCAATGAATTAGCCTAGTTTTACAATACACTAACAATTAAAAGGTATATTTTTGGTCTGGTTAGGTTAAAGGAGAACTATGAGTCGAGTGATTTTCACTCAACCTCATAGATCGAGCCGATGTGCGACAATTAAACTGTCACACGTTGGCTCGAACTACGAGGTTGAGTGAAAATCACTCGCCTCATAGTTCTCCTTTAAGCAAACATATTTCACACAGTTCTTCACACAGGTGTTTTGAATCACTGATCTCACTGGCTGAACAACATCAGTTAAGCTAATGCTACAGTTTGCATCCGTGTTAAAGTGTGTGTAGACCCCAACAATGAGCTGCTCTTATTTCCTCCATTTTGGTCTGTTAAAGAGGAACTTTACCAATATTTTTGAAATCACAACAAATACACATATTAAAAAAAACAACAACTGAGAGAAAAACCAATGTATGTCTGGCTGACAAATGCATACCGAGCTGTAAAGCTCCTTTAATCTGGTCCAAGCCTGACTTTCTTTCAGCCTCGTTACGGAACCGTCTGCGAATGGTTGGAAATACTTTGGTCTCCCAGGCTTTCACCAGTAAAGCATAGTGGTCCTCCTAAAGCATACAAGGCAATAATGATTTCAGGGTTAACAAAAGAGCATTATGATGTGCCCAGTTTCATTTCCCTGCCTCACCGTGTATAGCGTTGACCAGGGAAGGCAGCCCCTACTCACAACTACAAGGTTAACCACACCTTGACCCCCCTATGAAGTACAGCAGATAGCAAACAATCAGTGAGTAATGAGTCTACTATAAAACGCATAGGGAAATATGGGACATATAAAGTCAGTAAAAGCAGGCACAATCACATGGATGCCAGCGCAAAATAACGTTTGTGGAGTTTGAGCTCAGCAAAGAAGCCAGGCTCAGCTGCTAAAAACACGCAGAAAGCTTTTATGTAGAGAAGATACACAAGCTCTTCTGCCATACTTTAAGTGTGTAATAGAAAGATGAAACTGTCACAGGTTGAACAAGGTCACTGTGCAATAGTGCAAAGAAATTATTCTTTTTAACCCATTCTGCTTTGGTATTGAACTTGGCAAGGAGAAAATATAAGCAATCTGCAGCAAAACCAGGAGCTTGGTTAATATCCTAGCTTGACTGGTCATTCAGGCCTGAGCACTGTAACCTGGGAGAAAAGGGAAGATCACATGCACCCCATACTGAGACACATCGCATACATCCTAACAGCTCCAAGAAGCAATAGCGGGAGGGAGAAGAGAGAAGTTAAGTTTCAGCGGGTGGGGGGATTGTTCTTTTAAGAGAACTAATCACTTTGCCCTGAATGGACAAAAGTATAGGTTCTCCAAGTATTGTATAAGAAAATATCTGACCCGTGGCATATCATCATCATCGTCGTCATCACTCTCATCATCTGCAATTGGCGGAGGATGTGGATCAGGTCCAGATGTAATAAAATTTTCATAGCTCAGCTCCACCTTATAATGACAGGAGGCATCGCTGTCATACTCTGGAAAAGACAAGGATCCGGCTCAATATATGATTGTTAAGAACATTGTTGCACAGCACCTATTAAACATATCGCCTTACGCTGTAGGACAGTGGCTGCTGCAGCAATGCGGCATGGAGGACCATGATTTCCAGGATCCGATGCTATGCTTGTTCCAGCATCATTGTCACTGTCAGAGGCCATGGCAAAAGGCAGCGCTTCAAAGTTTGCACTAATCTCTTCAGCCAAGTCAATGCACAAATCCGCAGCATTGCGATGAGCTTGACCCTCAGCAAAAGCAAACTTACGTGAACCAAAGTTTGCCCGGATTTTTGTATTCTGTAAAAATAAAGGTCAGTAAATGCTGGTTATAAGAAAAGAACAATGATTCCCTAATCAAATAAACTTCAACATGAGTGTTCTGCTGGTGTTAAAGGAAACCTGCATTGAGAGAATATATATATATAGATCTATATATAGATCTATCTATCTATCTATAGATAGATAGATAGATAGATAGATAGATAGATAGATAGATAGATAGATAGATAGATAGATAGATCTATATATATAGGCTGCCAGTTTTGACCTTTCCCTCTGAAAATTCCAGTTGCCTGCCTATCATGCATCTCCAATAGCATCAATGTCATCTAAGTCAGTGATTCAGAAAATCTAACTCTGATGTCACTGGCTTCAAGTTTGTTCCAAGGTTTGGAAGCCAGATGATTGGGTTGAAAGCCAATGAACTAGCATTTTTAGATGGAGGCCAAAAAAGCCATTTTATATCTTTTTCTTAGGGCAAGTTTCATTCAAGATCATTTTGTGGCATTATTTAAACAGGGAAATTAGGCACCACTGTCCCATCAACAAATGGATGCAAGGGAGTCTGAAAAAAAGCATGTTAGAAAACCATGACTAAAAGGTGCCCATACACCTTGCGATTATCGTACGATAATCGTATGCGATCGACTTTTCGTACGACAATCGTAACTTGTGAATAGAGTGCCCGACCGATAGTACTGAACAATCGTACGACTTTTGACGGTCAAGCATGTTTGAAAAAGTCGGTCGATCGTACGATGTTTGCATGGTTGGTGGCGTTTCCGTCCGTCAAAAGTCGTACGATTAACACTGCGCATGCGCAAATGAAAATAATTGCGGTCAATTACCGCAAATCGTCCAGGTGTTTTTTTTTTAAACTACCGCTGATTGAACCATTCGATAATCGGGGCAGATAGGGCAGTCGTACAAAAATCGTATGACGGTTCGATCATCGGACGAAAATCGTAAGGTGTATGGGCAACTTTAGATATATAAAGTTTGGTCAGGCAATAGGGAAAGCAAATAGGATTGTGGGGTGCATCACTAGAGGGATCCACAGCAGAGGGAAGAAGGCTATGATTCTACTATACAGAGCATTAGTTAGACCTCATTTGGAATACTGTGTCCAGTTCTAAAGACCCCACTTACAAATGACATTAATAGAATTGGACAATCCATAGACGGGCAATAAAAATGCAAGGTCTGAGGAATAAAACATATCAAAAGAGACAAGAAGAACCTAATTTGTACAGCAATAAGGGAAGAAGTGAACTGGGGGACGTAAACCAAAACATTAAACATACTGGGGGAATATGGTTCAGGAGGGTAGTATTTTTAACAAACAAAAAAGCTCAATAACACAGGGGCACCAACACAAACTATAAAGAGGGAAGTCCAAAAGTAAGTTAGAAAGCATTCATTTTTTTCCAAAAAAAGTGGTGGATGCTGGGAACAGACTTTCCACAGAGGCAGTGACTCAATAAACAGGAAGTGATTTTAAACATACTTGGGCTAAACAAGGGACCTATATTTAAAAAAAAAAGTCAAACTCTATGGACCACCTAGTGTTCAAAGTTTTTAAATTTAAAAGCAGCCCTAGCTGAAAAACAGAATGCATCACAAAACACCCTTAGATCTGCTCCACATAAATATTACAACACAGTTCAATATGAACACAATATTTCTCATTTCACATGCTGTAGTGAGAAGTTCATGACATTTATTGCAGGCTTTAAGACCTATATGGACCTTGGAACCTGACTGTATACATTAGGGATCCCGTCGCATGCAAAAGGGTGACTGAATGGAAAGAAAATAAATGTCAATAAAAAGAATTCCGCCATTGTTACCTTTTTCTGAATATGTACAACTGGCCACATTCCTCCAGACACATCTTCAAGGAATGGAGTAAGCCTCTGGCCACAGTAAGTGAAATAAACTCTGCCTTTAGCAGGCTGACCTGGAGGTGGTGGTGTACCTTCTGTTCTCTCCCAACCTATTCCTGCGACATCACCTGAAACGCACAAGTCACAGCTCAGGCCAATCCCAACACAGACACAAAATTAGGTTGCAGTCTTAGTTAAAATTGACCACGAAGTCTTAGTTTTGTCTGACCTAGTAGCTTTTACTAGTCAGGGAAACGCAATTTTGATGCATTAATATAACATTTAAAAGCCTTGGGAGAAAGCAAAGCGACATTTCTAATGACAGAATACATAAGATGCAGTCGCAAACTATTTTCTATTTATCAAACTACTGGGTTTCATTTGATAACCTTCCACTGCTGTACGGCTGGCTAATTAAACAGCAATCATCTGGCAATGTACTCAACTTTGAACTAGTTTTTAATTGCAGAAATTCCACACTCCGTCACTAATAGAATCTACTGAAATTGTGCAACAATCTAACTTGGCCTCTGGGCTAAGCTTCACCAACTATCATCTTAAATATGAGCCACTGTAAGATTCTCCTTAGCGGAGGCGATAGAAGTTAGTGTGACTTAGCCTAAAAGTCAGGACCCCAACAAAATGAAAATAATCAAGGAGAGGAAACACAGAGTAAGATATCAGTCTAATAGCAGAGGTAGATTCAGATACAGAAAGTGCAGCTAAACAAAGAGACAAACAGAAGTCTTATAAAAATCCCTGAACTGTTAAGTATAAAACACAATATTTTGATGTGTTTTTGATCAATGTTCTAGCACTGCTGTTTTGGTGAGTTCTCCTGCCTAAGATGGCATCTAACACAAGTATTTTCAGAAATCATTATACTCTGATATGCAGAGAATAGCAAAGACTGGAATATAACACAGGACAACATTGAGACATCCATGTTTTGTGCATATATATTTAAAGCATTGTACACATATATAACTAATCACACTCTGCTGTGAAATGTAAATAGAATACAAGTTAAAAAAAAAAACATTTACCTGGTGACAGAGCCACATCTAAACGCACACTCTTCCACTGCAGTAGACTGGATCCATTGTAATGTACTGCTCGTCCGTTGCTAACAAAACATAAGACTTTATTAAGAAAATAAACAATTTCAGGTTTCTTCCCTATACATAACCTCCTCTTATATCATCCCTCTATAGTGTTCCCCACAGTAATATAGCAGTTCACTAAGAAGTGTTAATTACGCCCAAGTACCTCTCGCTTTCCACAGTGTCAAATGCTTAATGCCCAAACCCAAGTTTTAAACTTTATGATCTCTTTAGTTATATACAATAACTTGGGCACAGTCGCACTTACTTGTGAAACAAGCATGTACCAACAGGGTTAGTCCAGGCTCCATCTCGTTTTTCTGCTTCTGTTGCGAACCCAAATGACACGATTGGGCCAGTATCATCATCTACGTCTCCATAAGAAACGATTTCAATTTCCCAATAAAATGATGGAGCCTGTAAAACACAGATAAAGAGATCTCACTGTCTATCACTTTATGATTTTACTAAGCCTACCTGGGAAAGCTCTACAATAATCCCATCAAAACCATGGATGCCCAATGTAGACATCAAAGTTGATATGTAGTTTATCAGTAAAGTCAGATGAAGAGCCATTACAGAAAAAAGTTTGTCATTTTATGCAAAGCTTGTTCAGTCATATTTGTGTCTTGCAGACCTAATATACTGCACATCAAAGAGGATGATACCAATTTATCTACTGCAGTTAAGGGATGCAGTGGTGTCACTTCCCTGCTGACTATTAAATATTAAAAAAATACCACACTGATAAGGTCACTTTGTTTTCTTCTCCTATATGCATGTTCCTAGTGGCAGACTGACAGTACTATGCAAAGCAAAAGGGCCCTTATAACTGGCTTACCGTGTATCCCCACTCAAGTGGGTGCTGATATGCAGAGTCTCACATGAGGTTGGTAAAAAATACACCTATTTATACTAGCTGTATTTTTATTATTAGTAAATATTTTAACAAGAACCTCAACCCTGTGTAAGCGCCTACTAGGACTGGCTGATCTGACACAGGGCTTCTGTCCATTCCCAACAGTAAATGGAGCAGCGGAATAGTTATGGGAAGTATAAGCATCTGCAGGGGCTGGCTTTGAAGTGTTATTGTGTGGCCTTGCATGGGTGAAGCACAGGTTTATTTTAACAATAAAAACATAAAAAGCCTCTTTATTACCAGCCAAAAATGTGGTGACCACATCTTCAAAGTGATAAACTGTAAAATAGTTATCTTTATTAAAACAGACCCAAATGTTTCACAATAGGAATGATATCCTTACTTGTACTGGTACAGGTGATGTTGCATAGATAAATGTTCCTCGTGGCAGACCTCCCCCTGCACTCGGGTCTGCCAGGAAAGTTACAGATGTCAGATGTGATGAGAACATGCAGGCCCTCACTGGAGGGAAGACACGGGATGGACACCAGGTTATCTCTTTAGGCTGTAAAAGATAAGAGCAATAAAAGATAATATCTGATATTTATGCCAAGCATACATTCTAAGACTATAATGCAAACTCCGTACCTGTCTGCGCTCAGTCTGCAGGGGTGGTGGTGGGGGACGAGCACAATCACGATAAAGCATACGTAGTCTCTCACACTGTACCTCTACCACTGAGAGGCGCTCACCTGTAATGCAAAAAACCTTACATCATTGGTTACATCACATCTAGCTGTGAGGCTGGCCCATACTGCCTATCAACTGGCCTTTTCATGGCAGTACTTCCTAAATTTTATTTTTTTTTATTTTTCAATTCAAATGGATTTATTGCAAATTGCTAAAAATAAATGAAAAATATATACACGTGATGTTTTCTATGTATACCTAGTATGCATTCTAGAGATAAATATAATTTTAATTGTACATTTAAAAAATAAATAAATCTATAGATCAAGCTTTTTAATAGCAGCATGTCAGTTCAAGTAGCAAATAATACAAGGTATCCAACATATAACAGATGCAGATTTGTGAACAGGGAAGTTAGTCAAGTCAAAGACAGCAATTTTTTTTTTCTTTAACAGGTGGGGTCCAGTGGATGTGAAGGTTCTAATTCCATTTAGTAAGGAAAGGTCCATGGCTGCCTGGAGAAGGAGTTAATAGCAAAAGGAGTGATGGGCAGGTGAGGGACAAGGCGATACCACCCCTCATTAAAGGCAGTCTAAACTATAGACCATGTAGACCAAATGGTAGGGTGTTGTTTAACAAAAAGCCCAGCCGACATCCAAGACCAGGGAAGTACAAGGGGCACCAGAGAAAAAGAATGTTCCATGGAATTCCAAAATTTCGTTTTATCATGCCTCTACCAGTTCACTATGCTGGTGATCTCAATCTCAGCGTGGTAGCCACCATCCCGTTTGTAAGGGCTGACGATGGCTATTTTCACATATTTTAATTCATTTCTCTTTAAAAATAAACCAAACCGATACTTTTGTGTGCTATGCATCATACCACATCCTATTTTTATATCCTATAGAAATGATTGAAAAAGCAAATCAATGACAAGCCTGTGAGGGTTCGCACTTATCCAGGTCATGTTATAGCTAGTAGTAGTTAGTCATATTCAACTAGACTAAAACGTTGAAGACTTTTGGTATGAAGAAGCTGCTCAGATAGGCAGCCAAAAAGTACCCCAAGTTACAGAACAAACCCACTTAAATGTGATGAACTACTACCAGCTAAGACAGTAGCAGGTTTATCTATTATCATAAAGTAGAGTGAGAAGCTGCGATAATTATCGGATTTCTCCGATCCATGTTTCAATACTCACCCGGACTACATTCCTGTGCTACCAAATTTAGCACTTCTACTGCAGCGGGGCACTGCTGTATAAACTCTTCACAGAAGGAGCTGTCTTCTAACAGCTGTGCCATAACCAGACAAGCTCTGAGAGAGTAAATGACGATAAGGTTATACATGAGAACAGAACAGTAACACAGTTAAGGTTGAGTAAAGTGCAGACACCATTTAAGACATGAATTCCAGCTGTAATTGTGGTATCTATAGCTAGGATTACTTTGGCCTTGCAATTCTCAGGGTTCCCAATGGTTTTAGTAGGAGCAATACCAAAAATAATATACTATGTCATATTAAGAAGTTAAATAATTTCACAATATTTCTACTTTTTGAATTATCTTATACAATCCAGTAACAAAAAGAATAAAAGGTACGTTCAGTGCATAGCTTCTATTTCCTTTTGTCCCTTAAGTCAGAAAATAAACTACTGGCAAATAAGAGCCCAATACAGACCCTGCCTCGTTTCACCCAAAAAAAAACCCTCTCATGATGGCTGTGAACAACTTTCTCAGCACCATAAGAGTTAGTACATACAATCAGGGAGGATGCAGGTTGTGCAGTGTGTAACTATTACATCTTGCCAGAGTAAACAGAGGATATGTACTGAAAGTACACTTATCCCAGAAAGATAAACTGTCACAAAAAGCCAGGCATTGAAACTTAGGGTAGCTGCTGCTGACACAAGGTCATCTTTGTCTTACTACCTAGTGGGTCACCTACACTGAACAAATGTACTATAACTACCAGCCATCAATCCTCTGAGTATTCACGTTTAAAAACAAGTCAGCAATTAAAGTTCCCGATATTCCTATCGTTACACTACCGAGTATTTTCAGTAGTATTCCAGCTATTTAGGTAATGTTTAGCTTTAAAATATTTTTTCTTTAAATAACTTACTAATTTTTACTTGCACGATGTGACATTTTTATCATGGCATTTCCAAGGAGCTCCCTTTTGTTCCTAATCCTTATATAATTGTCAATTCAAAAGGCAGCCATTATACATAAATAAGTAATTGAGATAGGCCATACAAGGAGGGTAAAGTGCTTTTGTGGGTTAGAGCTGAGCCACAGATGAACACCAAGAAAATCGAAGCAGTAAAACACAATCACTTTGCGACAATACCAAGCAATAAGCATATGTATTACACAAGCAATTACATATTTAAAAAAAAAAAAAAAAAGAAAAAAAAAAAAAAAAAAAAAAAAAAAAAAAAAAAAAAAAGTAAAAAAAAAAAAAATCAATGGTGGGAGGGGGAACAGTACTGGTCAGCGGAAATTCACAACTAGTAGCATATGCATTCAGCACAAATTATTTATCTGCACATCTGCCCCTTCAGCCTGTGGCACCTTCAAAGGTATATATAAAAATATAAAGACTTTTAGATAGCCATTACTTGCATAATCATAAGGACACCCCTAGCCTGGCTTGGTGATAGGTAGCTCAGGCTCCAGGTATAGTATTGTAGAAAGGGTTAGAGAATATTCATGTTTGGCATGGGTGATCAGGACTGCAGGGACAAGCGGACAAAAATGCTCTGTGTTGACTGCTCATACTGTCAGCTAGGTACTGCTATTGACTTCCCAATTTCCAATCTAGCTATAGGTATGCTTTAAGAAGGAAACATCTGGTGATTGTGAATTTACATATACCAATAATTATTAGAGGTACTGAGAAACAATGTGCTCTACTAAGTAGCAAACAATGATAACGACACAAGAGTAGCAATGTTAAATGAAAAGGTAGTAAGGGTAGTTCTCTTACCTTGTCCTGATCTCTGCAAGAAGCCGAACTACTGCCATAACTGGAGTTGAGGCGTCTCCTGTTGCAGGAAGTGAGGTATGAATAGACAGGCATCCCTCCTGGGGAAGTAACATGGACTGGACTGCCTGCACTACCTTCTCAGTAATAGACAGTTTATGGAGAGGCAATGCCTGATGGGGGTGAATGTTGGTGCGGCAAAAATCAAGCAGTTAGTTTCTAGGAAATGAGGGGTGTCATTAACTGGAGCTTTAAATTTACTGTTAAACTCTCCACCATAATCACAGGACAATTACAAGAAGATATTCAATAAAAAGGTGTACTGTCCTCTCCTGTCCTGCCAGACTACTCTGGAGAATTCACAGGTAAAGCAGGAGTCACAGTGGACCACCATTTTATGGGAAAATGAGATACACTGCCCCTGTCTGAATAATTCCACATACAGTACTGACACGTGCCACCAGTGGAAGCATGTGTCCCATTGCTAAGAGATACTATACCAATACGGTTGTGCAATCCGAAAGCTTTACCAGAAACCCAGGCTACCTTATTCAGACAGCTAAGCAATGCCTCTTATTTTTATTTTTACAAAAAAATGAACCACTGTACACTCTACGGCTTCAAACATTTTTAAGTATTGACATTAGAGAAAAACTGTTATAAGAAGGCTTGGAATCTACAAAATTATTTTTAGCTATAAATTATATACTGGGATAACCAATGACAAATGTATATCTGTTCCAACATGAAGGTATGACACCATCAACTTTAAATACTCAGTACTTACTATTCTAAAGGTCTGTGAATATTCTGACACTGCACATGAAATACATACAGTGGCCAGTTTATTATGACCACCTGACGTTGTAGGCAAATTAGCTATAATTGTCGCGAGCCATGGAGCGAGTATCGGCAAAACAGCAGAATTCGTTAAATGTTTCAGCTGAAAATCTGGGTATGAATGTGCGAATTGTGGCCGTCAGCAACTAGTCAATGTTAGGTCAGAACAGAGAGTGGCAAGACTGGTACAAGACAACAGAAGGGCAACAGTGCACTGTCAGATTCCTCGCATCACCTTTCAACATCTCGTGGAGTCACGAGGCGGCCCAACGAAGTCATCTCGTGGCCCAACGAAGTACTGATGGGGTGGTCATAATAATCTGGCCACTCAGTGTATATAGCAAACAGATTAATATAGCACTCAGGAGTTGGTCAGTTCAATCGTAGAGTCACTGAGCAGCTCTTAGATATGAGAGCAGTGTATACAGCAAGCTCTTACAGAACATTTGTAAAGCATTTGGCAAGCTTTATGTAGCTATGTTGAAGCTTTTAAAGCTCCAATCTGAAGATGTTAAAGGAAAAACTCTACTTCTGTTAAACACATATAGCATAGAACGTTGCTACACAAGCCATTTCATCATTTAATGTCATTAAACATTACTCTTTCATTTCAAACTGCAACCTCTTTATTTTTCTAAACTTCAATGCAATATAATGTATTTACAAATATGCAGCACCAATCTTGTGAAAGTGCCTAACTAAGTGATGACTAGATGTCTTGTACACCTCTATTGGTCCATCGACCTGTATTCCAACCGTGATGAGTGAAAAAAGTGTGATATATATAAATAAATAAGCAAATCAATATGTATTAGAGGCGTAGGGGCGGGCCTAATCCACGTCATGCCAAACACAGGAGTTCGTTGTTTTACCACATAACCGGCCGGCAAAGACTTTGTTATACTTTTTTACTGGATTTAAAATAAAGCCCTTTTGGAAATTATTACACAATGAAGAGTTTTTTCTTTGTATGAGTATGGAGACACGCCGCTCGCTGGACACCAATTGGAAAAAGACACAGTGAGGACGCTACGGCTCCGTGAGTCACCATACAAGCGCTTTCGGCTGCTCACTACAGCCATCACATCACGGTGAGTGCACACTTTGAGGGCAGACGTACGGCACTTGCCTAAATCCCCAGCAAGTTTCACAGGACCTCTCACATCAACACACAGATTGTGATAAACTTTTTGCACCAGGAATGCGATATGATCATATGGACTATTCACTTTGTTTCAACACTAATATTAATATTTAAAAGGATACTGTGGGGTTCACTATCCAGGGTTATTGTATAACAGTACCACAGACACACAGGTGTATATAGTGTTATAAGTATGCAACTCAGTCACTTCTTTTTGCACGGTTTCACTTATAGTGTTATACACTGATTTTTTGCTTTATATGTTTGGCGGATATATTTTGGACACTAGATAATTTTGAAGGTATATAGTGACCTATACATATTGATTGCTTATTTATTTATTTATATCACAATTTTTTTACTCATCACGGTTGAAATATAGGTCGATGGACCAATAGAGGTGTACACGACATCTAGTCATCACTTAGTTAGGCACATTCACAAGATTGGCGCTGCATATTTGTAAATACATTTGATTGGACCCAGTTGTCTTTATTGCAGCAGCTTTCACATTATTCAATAATTTACCATTTAATATTATATAAAATGTATTAAATTATTTACACGTATTATCACTCATTTAGCGCAGGAATAAAAACACAAACATTTCAATGCAATATAGCAACCTGGAGGCATTCTGTACTTTCTGCTTTTTTGAGACTTACTTAAAAAGAGACAAGAAAGCTACTTGAAACTGGTGAAAAACTTTGCAAACGCTTTGTAAAAGCTAGTTGTGCACATTGTACACACTGCTCAGACACTGACCCGGAAACAAGCGTGCAGATCAGGAGTGTCAAGCCTGGACTTCTGCTTTGCCTAAATTGTTCGTAATCAAGACTGTACTAAAGCTACTGTGTCAGCATGAAAGCCAGAGAACTAAACTACTTTAACAGCAGATGCCAAAGAAAACCAGGCCCATTTTTTGGACAATTAAATAAACCTGTCATCTAAAAGGTTAAAACTATCAACACACATAAATGTAGACTTTACTATGACCGGGTGGTCCCTGCAGTAAAGGCACGGATATAAATTGGCCCAAGACTGTTCTGTTTGGGCACTCAGTTTTGGTTTATAATTTAGGCCAATGAATTGGGTATCTCTATGACTGTTTAGTTTTAGGGTTATCTAGGTTAAAGCAGAACTAAAGTATTTCCTTTTTTAATGCAAGCAATATGAAATTGCAAGATAAAGTGCAGACATACACAAATCTGTTACTTTTTTAATTATCAATTTCAACTTATCCATATGCCACCTTTACCTAGTCTGTTCACCATTATTAGTGGGAGATGGAGTGCTGCCATCTGTAAGAAGTGTTGTTTTTCTCTCCTTTGTCAGGAACTGGGGGCCATTCGATCTAACCCTAATCCTCCCTCTCTTCGGTTATATAATCAGCCACTTGTTACTAGTTTTTAAAAATGCAGCCAACAAACAACACTTAGTAAGAAAAACACAAGGCGGGACTGGGAGGAGCCACGCTGTTCAGCCCATGCAAATATAGGAGCATAAGGACATACTAAGTGAGAGGTGTAGAAATCCTATAACCTCTGGGCTGTTCAACCCGCAGAGCTGAAACAAAGAGGTCATTGAAAATATATTTCCTGTTGCTATGTCTGAACAGCAGCTGAGAGATCTTTTAGAAAGGCCATAAGGTGAATAGAGGGGACTTTATTAAAACTGGACCAGAGAAAATCTAGGGTAGCTGTGCATGGCAACCAATCAGTTTCTAGCTTTTATTTTCAAAGCGTATCTGCATAAACTGAAGAGAGAAGCGGATTGGCTACTATGGCAACTGCACTAGCTTCTGCTCCAGTTTTTGTAAATTCCCCCCGTAGTTTTGCAGGTGTGCATTCATGCACTATTTTTAATTTGCAATTTTAGACTGTATGCATAGAGAACAGTTTCTTTAGGTATTAAGCTAGAGTTAAGCTTAGGACCAGAATGCTAAATTTTAAGTTTTGGATAGAGTAGGAAAAAACTGAAGGGAAAACCGTTTGATTTTTTTTCTGCTGTCTTTGTTCCACTGAGCTGATTTCCCCACATTTCCTGCCATGGACACACAACAGGAAGCAAAAGAGTGTCACAAATCAAGTAAACTGTAAAATTTCATTAAAAAAAAAATGTACTTTCTTCTCAGCGACAATGACTATGAGGACAAATGGAAACAGAAGTTAAATAAACCCTGACAGATATTCTAAATTTTCCCTACTATATCCAAAAACAAAAGAAATAGAAACTGATGATAAACAAATGGTAAGGATTAGGTTACGAATCAAAGTGCCCAAACTTATCTTCTCTTAGTTTCCTCATCAACCCTTTTGGACACCAGGTACAAAAAAAAATAGCACTGTGTAAGCTTGCAACCTGAAGCTCACACTAGGCTGAGGACTCTCTTCTGGTTTCCATGTGACAGCACTCCATTCCTGAGCATCCAAAGCACCAACATGATCAGGCGTGAGCAGGGGGAGCGAGTCACATTTTTTTCTCATACCTGAATTTAAGTGTCGATGATCATTTTCAGAGTTTGGTTAGGGGTTAAAGGAGAACTATGGGGTCAGTGTTTTTCCCCATAGTTCTCCTTGGGGTAACGGGAGGACACAAACTAGCGTTTACCCTAAGCTCAGTATACTGCGAGCTACAGCTCGCGGTATACTGAGACGCCGCAGCCGGAGCGGATCCCGACGTAGATGACGGGATCCGCCCAGCTGTGTGAGTGACAGCTGGCTCTGCCTATCTAGAGGCAGAGCCAGCTGTACCCGCCCCCTCCCCCGTCCGTTTCGCCAGTCAGCGCTGGCGGATCGGAGCGGGGAGAGGGGAATCCAGCCCCTCCCCTGTCACGGCAGAGAGCTGTGACAGGATCGAGAGGTGAGCGAACCCGGTATCTGTTCGCTCACCTCCCAATCTACTGAGCCAACCTGTGACAGTCTCATTGTCACAGGTCGGCTAGAACTATGAGGTGAGTGGAAATCACTCATCTCATAGTTCTCCTTTAAGTTTTACTATTGGAGGGTTGTTTGAGTGTTAAGGTTTGCAGGTGGACAAGGCCAGGGTGACAATAAGGGTTAGGGATACGTGACAGTTGAGCATGGGTTCTTGGGTTCTATGAAATTCACATTCAAATATTTCATGCCAAATAGTACCAAAAGCCTATTGGCTTCTGTCCAAAAGGTGTCCTCCTGGCCCCCGAATCTGGGCTGCTTCATTGTTCTAATTACCACTTTTCCTTTGACTTTACCAGGATTAGAAAGAGAGCTACTATTGGCCACTAAACAACTCTCACCTATTTAGGGAGAAGGGGTGTGGCAGAGCTCCAAGTCGCAGCTGAAGATGAGACTATGGTAAGTATGTGTCTGCTCCTGTTACATGCAGTATGTAAGAACGGTTTTTAAATAACTGACTCCAGCAAAAGTAAAGCTGTCTTTAGGATGTGGGTGACTTTAATGTTCATTAATGGATTCCAAGGAGCACTGAAGTACACTGACACACAGGATCCAAACAGGTTACTCTTAGCAGTCCAACCAATAAAATTACATTTTTGCCTGTTTTCTAATGGTTTCTATACTGTAGCGAAGTAAATACCTTTTATATACCTATAGCCTTAACCTTTACCACAGCACAGTAGATATACAAACACACACGTTCACTTACAAATATGAAAATAAAACACACACTAAATGCACCACAACAATATGTACATTAACTATGATGACAATCCTTACCTCCGAGCGAGGAACGCAGAGCCTAAACAATGGGATTGCCAGTGTGTCTGAGGCCTTTGAGGATTTTCTAAAATCTAGGGATGGAAATCTCACAGTTGCAATACCTTCTTGTTCATTTATAGATACAACCACTCCAATACTCCCAGATATTCCTTTACCAAGCACCTAATTGGAGAAAGGATTAATGCAATCTCAATTTAGGCTGGCAGGCAAACACAAGCAGTATTATCTGAAATCTAAAGTACAATTCAGATCTAATAACATACCCACATTGGAATTTCGGAAATGAAAACATTTCTTAAAACATTAACAATATTTTTAATGGAATCCTATGGAATATTATTTAATAAATCATTCCAACAACTATACACGAGGGGGTGAATGTCAGACAGTGTGTGGTCAACAATGACTTTGAATCTGTGATGTGTGTGTCTATGGGATGGTTACATTGCGCTGGAGAAATCTTTAAGAAGAGGCTATGTAGCACAGGGCAAGCAGAACAAAACATCACCAGGACTTAGTTAAGTATGTGGTTTTAGCAAAATCAGTGCAAAGAAGGGGTCCCGAAAGTGCACATATCCTAGGACAGTAGAGTGGGCTGAGACATGCAATTATTTTGAGAGCAGGGGGAATTAATAACTTGCTTATTGGCAGCTATACTAAGTTCAGAATGTTAAAAGGGGACAAAAGGTATACATGTGAAAAAAATTGTATATGTAAACTAAGTAACCAGGGTGGGAGGAGAAGGCACCAATGCTCATCACTCATCAGTGGGGGCTGGGCTACAGGTCGTTTAAGCACATATGCCAACATGCACATTTAAAGAAGATGAAGATGGAGAATTCCCTGTTAGATGGAGACCCTTTGTAACCAAATAAAGTTATAAGAAACCATCAAACAAGAAAATGCCCCATTAGTGAAGGTGTGAGAGACTGTCTCATCACTGACTGGCATGTAATTAACCACCCTAGTGGAATTTTTCCTTACATGCAGACCAGTTAATGAATGCTCTCCTCTCTGGAGAGGTGGATTTAATTTTGGTTCCGAGAATACAGACTGGGTTAGAACTAGGCAGCACAGAAGTCAGTACATGTGCAGCAGCATTGGAGTCACACTCCTGAGAACCCTCACTATACTCTCCTAGTCTGCATTCATACATAGGACAAAATAAAATTTAAAAAAACTGGAGTCCTTCTTTTGGAAGTGTGACCTAAACAACTATATGCCAAGTAGAACCCCCCATACACACAATTCCGGTTGAGAATATGGGATGTGCGAAACAATGCTGCAGGGGTAGGAAAACTTCGGCCTTCCAGCTGCGGTGAAGCTACAAATACTATCATGTATCTGCCTCTGGAAGTCATAGCTGTAGTTGTCAAGTCTTACAATGCTTCGGGAGATTTGTAGTTGCACCATAGCTGGAGGGCCGCAGTTTGCCTACCGCTGCTGTAACAGGAATACAACTGTGGGTCCAAAAATATAGCTTCAAATAAAACAATATGAAAGGATTTTTTCTTTTAAACGCTTGAAGACCAGGTGTTTAGACCCCCTTCCTGCCCAGGCCATTTTTCAGTGTTCAGCGCTGCAGTACTTTGACTGACATTTATTCCGTCACGCAGCGCTGTACTGAAATGAATTTTATACCATTTTTTGGGGATAGATAGAGCTTTCTTTTGGTGGTATTTAATCACCACTGCAGATTTTAATTTTTACTATATTCAGGAGAAATTACTAAAAATTTGGAAAAAAAAAAGTTTTTTTTTACATTATGTAATAAAACAACTAATATTACCCAATTTTTTGGTAAAATATAAAAGATGGGGTCACGTCGGGTAAATAGACACCAAACATGTCAAGGGTAAAAATTGCGCGCACTCGCAAAAAACTAGCATACCCAAAATTGGCCATAGGTGACGCTTTAAAAGCTTTTACTGCTCATCAGTTTAGTATTATCAGTGATTCATGGCTCTAGAATGATTGCTCTCATTCCGATGTTCGCGGCGATATGTAACATGTGCGGCGTAATGGGTGCAATCGTCGTTTTCGCAGGTATGCGCACCTGACGCATGTTTACATGCGTGTATGTAGGGGTGGGGATTTTTAAAAAAAAATTGTTTTTTTTAATTCTTTTTTGTGTAACTTAAAAAAAAATGGGGGGGAAACTTTACATTTTTGTACAATTCAAATGTAGCTAGCCAATAAGGACTACGGGGTTAGGTCCTAAATATTGTAAGAATTGTCAGGGAAATTTCCTATTAGCTTTGTGGTCTTATACTATCCCTGTTAGTCTATGTAACACTTCTCTTATCTGATAGTTAAAACACTTCTCTATTACATGCAAAACAGATATACAAACTTGATACGAAAGTTAAAGATGATTATAATTTTATGTAAAATGTTTAAGATATTGCTAAATAGTAGATCAAGTCTGGACACTGTTAACAAAGTCCTTGTCATTATTCAAAAATGTTAAGCGTAAAATGCAAACCATGTTACCTGAACCTCTGAACCTATTTTAATAGTCTCCTTGAACCCTCCAAGGGCACAGAGTGCTGCCACGGCTTGTCTAGCTATGCCCTGCAATTTGGCCAGTTTTCTGGTGCTGCCACTACCATTCTCCAGGATGCTCTCGGCATACTTGCCCAGCTGAGGGATATGCATTAGTGCACGTGACAAGACCTGTATAAACAAAAGAAAAATGCAAAACTAATACTTGGTGCCAAGTCACCTATGAAAACATGTATGTAACTATATCTTATATCTAGACTGATTTTAACTACAGACTATAACATGACATATAGACCGAGTTAAACTGTACATTCTGCTGAAAGGAATTGAATGTTTAGGTCAAGGGTAAACAAGCAAGACGTTTAAGTGTGGTTCCTTGAAATAAGCCAATGCAGTAGCACTGATCATCTCAGTATGCACATTATTATGTTAGTTGGACAATAACTGATCTTTGAAAAGACACAGATTACAAAGCCTGTGACTTTTTACCTTTTCTGCAGTTGTTGTCCATATCTGTGCTGCATTAGACTCTGGGGCCATAAGCAAACTGTGAAGTAAAGCAATCACTTCTGCAGCCATACTATTTGCAACATGTCCGCTGATAAAAGGACGCACGGGATCAGTTCTAAAAATATACAATTTAAAACAAAAATTAAAAACAGACACTTAAATATTATTTACAATAGAATCGCATCAGTAAAGTCTTGCAAATAATGGGGAACCTACAGGTAATGCCTCAGATTTTTAAAAAAACACAGTCTAAAAGTACATCTAAAAACTCAAAGGTTCAAGCATCCCTTTGTGAGCAGTGCTAGAAATAAACCATTCTGAACACCTCTGTGGCATTTGTGAAAACATAAATAAATGTAAAAGTAGCTCACCTAGGTCTACCCTGAATTTAATGCAGGAATGCTATGTACCTGGCAAGCTCTGAATTCCTCTCTCTGCAGATTGAGGTTTGGGCAGTTTTCTTTTTGTCTCCAGTAGAAAGGCCACTGGCAATTTCAGGACTCACTGTCTCCACTGGTGGCCCAACACTGACAATTAAACCAGACTGGGCCCATTTGGTGGCTTTACGTAAAGCAGCAACAGTCTCCTCGGTGATCACTTCACAGCAACCACTCTATAGAAAAGCAAGACAGTAATAACACTAAATGAGATTAAAAACAGTAAATCCAATATACACAAAGAATATATTTTTGTCAAAAGGAACACACAGGCCTCCAAAGTCAGTTCCATTTCACCCCCAAGATCTTGCCCTACAGTAACCTGTTTAACCTCAGAGAGACAATAATTCATAAGAGTCTACTGGAGTTTATATGCTTATGTGTATGTGTATGTGAATACGAGATGCCACTTTCTGCTTTTAAATCCAAGGGAAGAGCTGGCAAATGGATGATGTTACAAACCCCAAAGTCACTCAGGTTTAAAAAAAAAAAACAGGGCTGGCAATGAGGTGGCTTGGTTTCTGTGTAAAGCATACTAAAGCAATAAAGAAGTAAAAAGATCCAAAAGGACCCTCCTAAGGAATATAGCAGCCGCCACTGCTTACTGGTTTTAATTTTAGATATCACAGTCCTAATGGCAACACAGGAAGGTAAAGATGTGCTGTTCATGGTCAGGCAATGTTATTTTCCTATAATCCCACCTTATTGTTACCATAAACAGGAGTTCAACTAACAAAACGTAGTATGGGCCATAAACCACAAAATGCCAGAAGCAATCAGTCTTTTACTGCACACCAAGTCCCTTTGATTTTGTGTATTATCCTTATTATCCACTAGTGTGCTGAAATGTACACATCGACAAATCTCACACAGTATAATCAAGCACTTTAGAAAAAACAAAGACTAACTTTGGTCATATCTCGATCCATCTTCACAACTTTCTCCATGTTGGCACCAGTGCCAAGACGAAATGGTCGTCCTTCTGAACTACTATAAAATTGAACAGCATTGCAGACTTTAGGTAAACTGGTATAAAATACAAATGGTGCTATACATGTAGATTCAAAACAAACACATTTTTTTTAAATTTATACTGTAAAAGCAAGAAAAGCCAATTATTGTTATTGTACCCCTGTCATTACCTGAGCAAAGGCTGCAGGACTTCATGAGAGGACTGGTCTTCACGTTTGTGGATAAAAATTGACAGTTTACCATCCACAGCTTCACTCTCCTCCCCAGTATCCTTGTCACCCTTCTGGGAGTTTTTTGGACTAGTTTTAGATAAATTGCTATCCGGCTCAGAGGCAGTGGGGGAAAGAACTGTCTGACATCCTGTAATACAAGTGTAGAAATTAATTACGGGGTCTGACATCAAAATCATTACACTGGTGAAAATGATTTACTCCTTGGCAAAGGGACTTGTGAAGGCAAAAATAATTTGCTGGATTTTATATACTTTTTTTTTACTTTACCTAGAACGGTACACAATCCCATCTAGAACTATTTCTAGTACAAAATACAGGTGCAGGCATTCAAGCTATTACTCTAAATGACATTGGCATTTGTGATGCTTTATGCCAACGTGCTGTCTGAGCCACAAATAAAATGGATTACAGATTAGTAGGCCATCTCATTTGCTATATGTGAGAGCCTATGTATTACGGGTCACTAAAACAACGGATGACATTGATGCCATTGTTGTGGTTACAAGCAGACTGAGATTGGAATCTCTACCTACACAAAATGTGTAGGCAGTGCTCTATACTGAGCCCCTCCATTTCATTTAGTGCCAAAGTTAGCAGATCTTTGCCAGGCACTATAAATACAACTGCCAATTAACATCCAAACTTCTAAGAGGGAGTGAGAGAAAGTGAGCTTGTTAATAGAGAGGGCAACAGAACTGTTATATTGACCTACCAAATAATGCATGTTCTTCCATTCTATGAACTCAATAAACCAAAGGGTCAATTTCCCTTTCATTGCTAGCACAATATGTGTTTGAATAGAGAAAAATCAGCAAACATATCGGCATACTTTGCAAAGAAGTATTTGTGATTATCTGTGTTTGCCACTATTCAAACAAGGCAATATGTATGCATATTCACCTGGAACCACATAATCAGCCAGCTTTGCCAGAAGCAAAGATGCAATCTTAGATGCCGGGTCACTGGGATCTTCCTGTTCACTATTCAGTGACGGCACAGAGTAGCTCCATGGAGGAAGTTCCACATTTTCACAATCCTCCACACTCATGAGTGGCAGGGCAGCCCGGCACAGCTGAAGGATGATGAGGACAAGTTTTGGAGAAGGACGCTGATCCAAAAGCAGTGAAAGGAGCTTGGACACACAAGCTGGTTGGCTCAGTATTGCCTTCCCTATTTGACTTCTGCACAAACAAAAAGAAAAAAAACAAAAAAAACAAAAAAAACATTAATTTCCAAACAAAAGCAGGAAAAACCTACTGGCTGATTAAACAACTGCTTCATTCAAATAGTGAACCACATCATAAATTAATATTTTAAAAGCATAATAAGGTAAGTGAAGCATTAACCTACAGAATAAAATTTCTGTGGAAAAGTGATTCTACTTTACAGCAATTTTACTATAAATACAAACATTAAAGCATAACTAATGTTCCACAATACAAACACAATCAGCCATAGCACAGCATTCACACATAGCTAAACTGCAAAGTGATTTCTATAAATGATGGGTTACAAATCTATCTGTAAATTGTTCAGTTTATAAATACAAGATATCTTGGAAGTAATTCCTCTAATACACACTTCCTTCTCCAACAATAGCTTGCACTCAACTACACATAAGACAGACTCCATGAGCAAACCTTGCATGAAATAAGAAACATGAATATAATCATTTGAAGCCTTCATAACACAAGATAATGATACAGACTAAACCTTCAACTTATGCTACAGTAACTGCAATCCTGCAACAGTTTGGTGCCCAGTAACATCACCAATGCCGAGGCATCAATCATGAGGTCAGCTTCAGAGGATCCTGTTGATTGGTGCCAGAATACTCTTTAGCCAAGAAAAAGCCAGTCATCAGCTCTGAGTGAACAGTCTCTTACAGGGTTATTCACAGAAGGGTGAAGAGTTTGCAGAAGGAAGGAGACGTGAACAATCTAGGACAACATAGCCGATATGGAAAAATTCTCCAATGCAGCTCACTTTCCGGTTCAACTATTTTGTCCTAGATTGTTCACTTCCCCTGTCTTCTCCAAAATCCTCACCCTTTTGTGAATAACCCTGTAAATGTCAGTCTAATAAGATCCTGAGCCTTGGCATTGGTAAAGCAGTTGAGTGCTGCACCATTGTAAAATTACCCTGATTTAAAAAAAGGGTAAGGTGTCATTCTGCTTTACTAACTTTCAAAATGCAGATTGCACATTAAAATAACAATGTTCTCTACTTTGTAATTATAGGTCCCTTTTAAGCTTTGACTGCAAAGAACAGTGGAGCACTCATTAATTAAGAATTAGTTACCTTGAAAGATCATTCAGAAGACTAAGAACATCTTGGAGGGCATCATTTCCAGCAGCCTGGTTTCCACAGCATTCTGTGGCTCTTGCCAGATGATTAGTTAGAAGGGTGGAAACCTGTCGAGCCAAACCCGAATGGACCGCCTCTGTAGAACCACCTTCAGAGTTTACCATAAACAATATAACTAAAAACAACTATGAACACTGATATTTATACCACACGAAACACTTGTATCCAATACCATTATCAAGAATATGCACACAAAGTACAGAAAGCCTTTAACTAGCAGACAAAACACATGAAGTGTGCATCTACTATATCAGGTAAGTGTGACTACTAATGCCTATACTTATGTGTACATAATGGTGTGCAACTTTTGTGGCGCCCGTGGAGACTGTTGTATATAGGATTCAACAGATTTCAGCAATTTTAATATTAAGATTTAGCCCAGAGCACACGAAGTGTAGAACATAACACATATCTTAACTGTTATAATACATTAGAACGCCAAATATTGAATGTACTGACCTTCTTCCTTCTCCCATTCCACACATCTATTTGCCAGGACCTGGAAGGCTGCCCATGCCATGGTTGCCACTTTTTGTTTTCTGGTCTGTTTTTCACTTGAGCTGGACTCTGCCTGGTTGCTCAGGCTACATAACCTGTCCATGAGCTGAACCAATCCACTGCGGACCAGACATTTTTCTTCACTCCTGCCCAGGGAACAAACAAAATAAAGCAGACTGTTACAGTGTAGTAAAATGGGCTACTTTTCTAAAATCTCCCACCTCCTACAGACAGGGTACAGACCACCGAGGTAATGTGTCCACTGGTGGATAAGAGAAATGTAGAATAGTTTCTTAATAAATGTTTTAACTAGCTATAAAAAGCCATACAAAAAGAACCTCTAAAAATAGTTGCCCTCTAAAATGGCTCTTTGCTTTAAAATCTACTTTTTACAAAGGGAAACCTCAGTTTTTACCATATGTTACATAGTTACATAGTATTTGAGGTTGAATAAAGACATTAGTCCATCAAGTCCAACCTATTAGGATCTCATTCTAGGAGTACCTGTACCCCTGTATATTATCTGTACCCCTGTATATTATGGTCCCTTAAGATGTAAATTTATCTAGAACAGTTTAACAGTACAAAATATTAGATGATGCCTAAAGTCACCTTGTGTAAGGTATTGTACACAACAGACCGATGCTGTTTGAACAGGCGATGGGATAGCGGGCACACAGTGACACCACTGAAGTCATGGTCTCCCCAAAGGCTTCCTGAACTTGTTCCACCATTCCACCACATGTCAGCTCCTCAATCCTGTCATGAAAACATAACTTGACCATATTATGCAAAGGTTATTGAAGATAAAATTTTTAGCATTTGAAGAGATACAATGCAACATTAAACTCAGCATTAAGCCTCAACCAGCAGTAAATGAAAATGCAATATTCAATATAAACAAAAAAGTAATAATGAACTCCCACCTTGGCCCTCCTTGCAGCACCATAGTCACAGGCCCAACCAAATGTGTTACTCCTCCAACCCGAACAGCAGCAGTCAGCAACTCCCTCATGTGCACTAGGGCTTGTTTGCGTGTATTCCCACGGCGCCACCTTGTCTGGGCAGCAAGCAAAAAGCTACTGCTTGATACCTAAAAATAAAATAAACACAATAGTATGGTCACTTGCACCAAATGTAAATAGCACAGTATTATGTTAGAAAAGCATCCACAAAATGCAAAATCACTGTGCAGAGTACAGAGTACAGGATGACATACCGCTTGGTCTGGATTGGTGCCAATGAATGCAAACAGCTGACCTAACAAGACGCTGTAAGTAGGCTTGTCCCTGCTGTCTTCGTTGGACAGAGACTGCAGCAACGTGAAGGAGCTGCTCCTGTGGCTACTTACATTGCGTCTCCTGAAAAATACCCAAATTTTAAAAAGGTAAACGTCATCATCACACAAACTGTTAATTAACACATCATTAAAACTAGATAAAACCAGCATTCTACATATACTAAAGATGCTGCGAGTGAGAATTAAAAGATGTCTGATAGTTCTGGAGACTTGGTCTTGCTGGTTAGCTTTTAGGGACTTTATGGAATTCAAGCAAACGTTCCGCTCATGACTCTCTTTTTACCCACTTTGTGGCTGAGTTCCCCTTCATAGATACTGATTATTGTGTAGACCTACGTGCACGGCTTTTGGAGGCGTTCACTCTGCTGTTGTTTGGACCATCACAACTCTGTTTTTGTCTAGGATTTCCCCTTTTCCTATCTTTCCAAAATGTTCCATTTCCTC